TATTACTTCACACTAAAACATTCCACAGCTACACAAAATGAGTCCTCAAAATCGCTCATCAGCTTCATTACTGCTTGAGCAATTACCTTTCCCTTTTTTAAAAATTTGATTCAGCCATGGATGTTCTCTTCACTGTTCAAATCACCGCTTTCTAGTCTTGAATTTTTGTCAATACTAATTAATCAGGAACATGCTCTCCAAATTTTCCAGAGGTACCCTAACTGGGTCTCACTCTCAGCAAAGTTTTTAAATGAGTTCAGACGCTTGATTGCTTGTGCAGATGCACAATACGGCATAATTACATGTGTAAAGGGTGGCAGAGATACTATCTAACAGCTGTGGCTGTGTAGCCTGTTTAAGGGCAGACAGGACTGTAGCGTGTGGATGGTAGCGTGCTGAAAAGCCTGTCTGAGGCTCTCTGTTGATTCCCATCCAAGGTGTTGTGTTAATTACTTTGGATGCCGTCCAGAAAACCTCAAAGAAATTAGAGAACTGTGACGTTCAATTTTGTACAATTCAAATTATTTTCATGGTTTACAGTAAACCAAACTTTTTTTGTTGTTGTTCTTCTTCTCCTCCAATATTGTCATGCTACAGATAAAACTCTTCTTTGAGTTCATGAGGTATGGGCTTCTATTATTTTTATTCATGTTTGCCTGAAGGTAACTGTCATTATTTGGCACTCGGGATTGTTTCGTGGAGATGAATGTTAATGAGGAGGCCCTTTATATTTTTTTTTACTGCGTAATCTACTGAACACCTTGTCCTTCAGTCAGTGAAGCACTGTTCATTGTCATTGTCACGAATGATGCAAGTACACAGTAAGTGCCAGTTGATGATTTAAAGGGATTGTTTCACCCAAAAATTCAAATTCCCTCATTATTTATTCACTGTCATATTATTCCAAATGTGGGTCTCTCTTCCTCACTTAAAGCTATTATATATAAACTTTATTTCATCTGAACACAAAATGAATTTTTTGTCCATACATAGAAAATCAAAGTACCCCAATGTGGTTTTGAACCCAACATCCTTCAAAATATATGTTGTGTTCAAAAGAATAAAGATTTGGGACTATGTGAGGTTGAGTAAATGATGACAGCATTTTCATTTTGGGTGAACTATCCTTTTAAGATATAGAGAACAGTGCTTTCCACTTTCAATGGATCAATACATCTGGCAAACAGATACCCATTCATACACTCCAAGCTCACTCTCTGTCTCTGCTATTTCACAACAACAAAAAGATGATTTTCCACCCAATTCTGCCTGGACGAGTGCTCTAAAGCCATGAATATGTTTTCTGTTGGTTTCCTGGTGAGAGTGTGGCCACCTTCCGCTCCAAACTGAGGTGGGATGTATACAGTTCGGCGGAGGGGCTTGAGGGGGGAAGTCAATCCACACTAAAAGCTTAGTTGCTATCTGCCTCCTAGCATAGAGCCAGGAGGCACATACTGTAGGAAAGCATTAAATAAACATTAATGGAAGTGGGTTAGTGGAGATTTATTAAGGAGGCATTTTGGCCTTGCCTAAGGGAGCCATGCACCATTTTATTCACTCATACAAGCACACAGGTAAACAAACAAGGTAATTTATGGCAGGCTTCACAGGTGGCAGTGTTTGGAATTCACTTTCTAGACGTTTTTTAAGGTAAGACAATTTTTTTTTCGTACCGTCTCAAGGACTTTTTTAATCATTTATCGTGTGCTGAATGGATGATGTGCAGAATTCTCTTCTTTGGGCTTGTTTGTTGGAATTTTGTTAAAGTAGTTTTTGTAAAGTAATGAGGTTAAAGGGAGTTTTTACGTTATTTTTCTAACACTGTCTTTTATAGTGACATATGTTATGTTCCTCGGAAACTTGTGTTCACTCTCTCCTTTGAGGACAGCTGGAGAGGGAGACAGAGAGAGAACCAACAGACGGTGGTTGCTTTGGAGAAGGTAGAGCACATAATGTTTTTAGTATCTTCTCTCCACCCCGGCATGTGAAGCAGAGGTGACACGGGTGACAAGGAAGCGTGAAGAGTGTACTTTGAAGGTTCTTACAGAGGTAACAGAAAAGAGAGAGAGAGATTGAGACAAAGAACAAGCAAGAAAAAGAGTTGAAGGAATTTCTTTTGGACATGTCAGCCATTGTCAATGTGACAAATCTTTGATGTGGAAATAATAGCTGGTGAGGGCTTGGCCCAGTCCAGTGGAACTACGTGCGACTATGATGAGCTGTTGTCAAACACACCCACATATTCTCGATCACTTTGGCTTAGGCACAGGCAGTATTTTTGGCATTGTATTCAATCGAGACCAAACCTTAAAGCTGTTGTTTTGATTTCGCTATACCTGCATTCTCTGTCATATCATAAATAGAGCTTGTTCAAATTCAAGATTTTAAAGTATGTGGGGTTGAAAACATTGCAAAACATGCTGGCTTTTAGGACTCCTCCAGTGGATGAATGAAACTGAGAGTAGAGCGTATTTTTCTTTTTCTCTATATTATTGAACTCTTTACTTACTTTACAAGGCTTATCTACACCACCCCAGACACATGCTATACACATAGACTAATCAGTGTTATATGGATGGAATGGAATGATACAATGGGTTAATATGGTGACTAATAATTATCCCGGCAATCAACTTTTTGTGTTTTTATTTTTCTATGAAGGTCCTCAATATTTTAATAATAATAATAATTCATTACATTTATATAGCGCTTTTCTAGGCACTCAAAGCTCTTCACATGGAAGGGGGAATCTCCTCAACCACCACCAATGTGCAGCATCCACTTGGATGATGCGACGGCAGCCATAGTGCGCCAGAACGCCCACCACACACCAGCTTACTGGTGGAGAGGAGACAGAGTGATGAAGCCAATCAGTGTATATATATATGGGGATGATTATTTTGCATAAAATATTTCGTACATTTTGAAATTGGTGTTGGGTTGAATTAAACTTTATGAAAAGTTTATGCGAAATTTTAAGAAGCTTCATAGAGAATGCATGCTGAATTGCAGAGTTTTTTTTATTATATCTATTGATTCATATTTAATTTAGGTTTACATTTTTATTGCAAAATCACTGTCTCATTTTCCATTTTCTGTGAAACCCCTTAATATTTTGCATACAAGTTTTGGTAACATTTTATATGCAATTTGAACAAAAAATCAACCTTTGTTTACTGCTCATGACGAAAACCTCCATAATTTAGTTATCTTCAAGTTGAAATGTCATTTTTGCCCATCTAGTTTGATCAAACGAAATAATGATAATTGTCAAGGTGGTTTCCTGAACAATCTGCCCATCTGCTATTAGTTGGACAAACAGATAATCCGTCCCCAAACCCAGTGTTTCTGTTTTGGCATGGTTGCCATAATCAAAACAAACAGAACAGTATTTTGCCAGCTTCCAAGAGCCACAGTGTTTACGTTTTAAGCTTGAGCCACACTGAAAGACTTTTAAAATGTGAGAGACCACAAACACGAAATCATAGATTTAACCGTTCCGTCATGTGACCAGGAAAGCACACCACACTAACAGATTTCATTCACAAACCACCAGAGTCCCGCCTGTGAACACTGGAAATCTTGCAAAATCGAAGTAAACAAACATGGCGGATGACTGGCAAGAAGAATAAGCACTTATAGTGTATGGACTGCTTTTTACAGAAAATCCGTGGCGAAAAAAAGCTAAATGTTTAGATGAAGTCATGGAGACGGTGTGAACATGGACTTTACATGTTACAGCGCGAGCTGGAGGTGAGTGTTTTCAGCTCGTTTTCAGATTGGGTATAGTTTAATTTCACGTGATAATCTCTAGAGCGTGCGCGCGTTTGCCTTCGGGGTTGAATATTTACGATCAGAGATCGGGGCGGCTCCGACGTTCTTACGAGCAGATTCAGTCACTCTTAACACACATCACACCACAGGAAAATCGGATTAGACAATCTGTAGAACAATCAAGATAATCAGACTTTACCTAGGATTGTCGGAAGGGGAGAAATCGCCCCGAATATCTTGTAGTGTGTGCCCAGCTTTATTAGGAAAATCGAGCTACAATTGGCATAGTTGACTTTACATATTTTACATTAAATGCGATAAGAGATAGTATTATAACGCTGAAGAAATGACACTTCAGCTTTAATGTTTTGGGGAAACCTTCAAAATTCCTCTCAATTAAATTTCTCATCAGAAAACATAATATTTGTTTATTAAGTTAGATGGTTTCATTCAACTTGTTGCAAAAAAATGTTTACAGGACAGCACTCGCATCCTCACATCTGAGAAGTTGAGATGAATAGCTTGAATAAAATGCCAGACGTGGATTTGATATATCCTCTCTGTTCCTTCAAAAGGGCAATCTCGGCCCATCCGCACCGCTTTGAATCCAGGAACCACAATCACCTGGAAATGAAGGCTGAATATGTGCAGCTAAATCACAGTCTATGTATGGCATGCGGCTTTATTAGCATGCGGCATAAAGAAAGCGAGGCTATTGGCAAGCGCTACCTGTTTGTTTACGTATGTGTGTGTGTGGTTTACGAGGCCAGGGGCGGTCCACGTGCGCCTCGTGAGCTGTGAGACTGCACGTCCCTGACATGAGCTGTCAATAGCCATTCAGTGAGAGAACCTGCCTTTATCTGCTCTTTAAATTGCAAAGCGCATCTCTCATGGGGGTTCGGCATGCTCTGTTGGGAGAAGCAATGACTGCAATCAGGTACTCCCTCCAGCATTTGTGTTAGACCCCCAGACAATGAAACTTTCCTCTATCCATTAATAGCTCAGTGCGCCAATGACTCCAAAGTTAGATGGAGAGGTTATTGAATGCCTCTGTTTGTCTCGCTTGACCTCTGCAGAGAAGCGGTGGCTTTGCTCAATTTTCCACAGGTGACCTCTTTTGTTGAAGGATTGTGGAAAGGATTTGGAGGGCAGCAAGTTGCTTTGTCGATGTTTATCCATCACTGTACAATACCCTGCTTATCCTTCCTTAACTGTATCTTTCTCACGGCTTCTCCAAGCATTCGCGAGAGCAGTACGAGAAGCTCTCCACCATGCACAAGAATATGCAGAAGCTCTACGAGAGCCTGGGGAGCTACTTCGCCTTCGACCCCCACACAGTCAGTGTCGAGGACTTCTTTGGAGACCTGGCTAACTTCCGCAACCTCTTCATGGTGAGTACAGAAACACTGTTACCTGTTCTTCCTCAGTAGAGTGCTTCTATCTTCTGATCTTTGCACTCCTCAAGGTTGAAGAGATTTTATGTTTTTCTTTTTACTTTCCTCTATTTCTTTCTCTAATGTTTATAAATCTGGCTTTGAGTCTTTGAGAGAAGGTGGAGATAATATTCTAATTAATACTTCTGATGCCCTCCCCACAGCTAGATGGCACAGGTCAGGGTTGCTGGATAACAGTATGATTAAGTTTAGGATTGCTTGGGCAGCTTCCGTCACTTGGAATGTGAGAACACAAATCTCTTTCTAACTTCACGTTCTTTTCCATATACACACACACACACACACACACACACACACACACACCTTTTTATCAGTGCATAGTTTTAAGTAATAGCACGCCACTCAAAACTAAAGCTGCTGGCCTTGTCTTGAGTGCATGTGGTGATTTAGCTTGTTTTATCATATTTGATAAAGACATTATCCTCACAGTGGTGAAGAGATGGAAGGACAGGTTTATTGGGCAGATTAAAGCATACATAAACCGTGCTGAGAATGGAATGTATAATGTATTACCAAACGTGTGGCTCCCATGCAGATAAAAGAGTCTCAGAAGCTTATCCTTTCAAAGTTTCGTTAGCTTCTGTATTTGGTGAGTATCAAGGCAACGCCTCCCCCCTGTCACATAACAAAAAATCCCTACCTTGGATTTAGGCAGGTAGGACTAGGTTATTGCTGATAGGATGGGATTTATCCAGACTGAGAGCGAAACCAGGGGAGGCGTTTCAAGTACATCTCACTGTACAAAGAAGATATGAGATTTCCAGCTAATTGATATTTTTTTAGGTTCTTAAAGTCTGACTTGTATTTGCTTCTTAAAACCTAAATGGGGCTTAGGGATTATATAAATAATGTTATATAATACATATATTCTGCATAAAAATGTGTGCATTTTTAAAGAGTGTTGAATTGAACTTTGTGAAAACTTGTATGTAAAATATTAATTTTAATATACACATTTTATAATGATTTAATATTGATGTTTTATAATAATGACAATTATAGCTATTCGTATTTTAATAATCATTTAAATGAATGAATTTGTATGTTTTCTTATCTATTCACTTTTTTAATAAATGTAAATACACAAATTTTACATCTCTTACAAGCTTCTTAATATTTTGCATAAAAGTTGCACAACATTTCAAATGTATCCTGCACAAGAAGTCAACTTTTGTTTACTGAACATGATGGCACCTACATGCTGAGAATTTCTATTGGATGGAGAACATTTCATGAAACTCCTTTTGCAGTTGAGTTCAAAGAACATTTACGCTGTGAGAAGTTTTTAGCTTCACTGTGGTGAGAGCATCATGGGATTAGGATCATTTTTATTTAAAATGGAACCTCGATATGGACTTGAGGAGGAGGGCAGAATGCCTCCACACACAGGAGTCTCTATAGATTTTTTTTACACGTATATATTTAAGTACGTGAAGGTATGCACAAAGTCTTAAAAAAACATTACAGTGAATGGCAAGGTCTCCTTGTCTGAGGCTTTTCTCTCACCCCTCTCAACCATATCTAAAAAACAACTTTCATACGGTGGTGGCAAACAATTTTCTATTACTGAATAAGAGACAAACATATAACAATTGTCTTTAAAGATTATTTATTCCCTTGCAAGCAAAGGTCAACAGTCATACAAAGTGCCTGCAGAGTGTGACAATGAGAGGAGGGCTTTCTTCCTTCTTTATAGTCCTGAATCCCCCCCAAGGTTATTTCTCTAGGCCAAATGAAGAACTTAGTTAGATTTGCTTATCATATGCTACCCTTGTAGTGGAGGCCCTCTGTCTCGGTCGTACATTAGTCACACATTTGCACGTATACGATACATATACGATATAAGTCATACAGATAGAACATATTAAATTTCTTCCACAATACGCTCTGATCAAAGTCTAGCAACACATGACACGGCGCTCCCTCCACTATATAGCGTTGAATGCCTGTAAAAAATAAATTATTCTCTCAAGCGAATAGCTCTTTATAAATAAGTTATCAGTGATTTAGACTTCAATAAAAGAAAAGAGCAGAGCTGGTAGAGAACACATGGATGGATGTCCAATGGCACCACGAATATTCCATGTGTGGCCTTTATTCCTGCATGTGTAATTTTTACTTATTTTCTTTCTTCTTTTTTGTCTCTATTTGTTTTATTTTATTTTTGTTTTGTTTTGTTGTGTGTAAAAGAAAAAAACGACTTGTATTTACATGTCCAAGCATGTCTTCCCAGTCAAATGCATTTATAACAGCTGAGAGCTCTTTTGGTAGCTATATGCTGGGAATGTGATATTGTGTCTTATACCATGGTCTGTCTCAATACTCAATTCTGATTGGCTGGAAGGTGTGCAATAAAAGCGTTTGATGCACAGGTAGTTCTAAGTCAGTTGTATCACCGTTTTATATTAATGCGCTGTTTTCATTGAAGACTGAAACACACACGAACATTCAGGAGCACAGAAACTAATCAACGCTGCCCTCCGACTTTTAGTTATAAAATAGCTTCGCTACTGAATCACTACATTATATTTCTTAGCAACGACGGTTCTTTGCCTCCATGTCATGCATTAAAATCGTTTAATGCACAACTAGCCATGGATTATCCCTTACATAGCCAGAAGTAATGTGATCAATTTAAATGCGATACAAGTTGTTGGCCCTAACCAGCCAGGACAGAACATGCCATCGGTCGCTTGGTTTTCCTGGATAGACCCGCCCACTTTGAGTCCCATTGGTCCAAAATCCTACTACTCATAACTGAACATGTTACGACCGGATGTTGGCCAAATATTTGCAAATGTACTTTGTGAATCTTTGGCAGGGAAATGTTATGAAAGAAATTTGTATTCATGATAGAGCCCTCCAAATAATATACATTTCACCATAGCATATTTATGGCACCTCATAGTTTTATCAACATCTATCCTCAGAAATAGCCCACATTGCTGTATGTTAAATTGCCTGAGTGACACATCCATTTGGTAGGACCAAAAAAAGCCCTGCCTGCCCGTTCTCAAAAAGCGCGCACACTCAGATAAGAGAACCCATTAGCTATATTTCTTTTCAGAGTCAATAGAAATTAAATTTGATTTCAGCACATGAAGTTTGTTTCAGATCGTCCCATCAATTTATCCAGTGCACAGTTTCATCTGTGTCTTCGTCTTCTGTAAGTAATCCTGACTAGCGGCTGTGGATGAATATCAGTATATTAATGTCTTTTCAAAGTGCAGCAGATGGTGATGAACTAACAATCTCACATGTTAATGGAGTGAGCCACTGGTTACACCAAAAAAGTCAGCAGAGATTGAGCCACAGTGATGGTACACAACAAGCATGACTCAGCTAATCAATAGAATGCAAGTGTGTGTGTTTGTGAACGTGCATATTTGTGCCAATACATATATGCTTGCCCATACAGTTATCGAGGGCCTTTGGCTTAATGTATTATGTCGTCCCTGAGAATAATGATAATGATGATGCTAGTAATGGGAATTGTGATGTAGTGTGGTGTCATCACTGCCTGTTTTTCATTTCCACCACACAGCCAATGTGAGTGATCGCAATTAAACCCAATGGAGTGTCCCTGTGATGTAGAGGCGGAGACGGTCGAATCCATTTGCAGATATTTATTAAAGGTGATGACAAACAGAGAACAAGCCGACAGAAACTCAAAAGTAGTCAAGGGATATCCAGAATCGAAGTCAAACACGCAAAGGTCAGAGGCAGGCAGCAAAGGTTCACAAAATGAATTCAGAGTCCAAGTTCAAACACAAAAGATCAAGTCCAAGCACAGAGAAACCAGAGATACAAACTGAGACAGGGTTTGGGTAAAACAATACTTCACAAATGGGCACAGAACAGTCCAGATAAAGGGTAGCTGAGCGTGCACAGGTGAGGCTGATGAAAGCATAATGAGGTGATTAGGGAAATGAAGTCCTAGTATGCAGGAGAGAGGGATCTAGTGAAACCAGGAGGAGGCGTTGTCGTGCGTTCCGTGACAGTCCCTTTAGATTGGTCTAATATTTGAGTCAACACACACAACATCGGCCACTTTTCACTCTTGGCAATTTTGTAGGCCTCTCACAGCCTGCTGAAAACTAATATGATCCAATAAATAAATAAATAACTCAAATATCATCAAATTGGTTCAGTTAGTGTACATTTTGTTTTGGCCAAATAGGCCCATCTGTGGTGTGGATTTTTTGTCCTCCGTTTCTCTCACTCTGTTTTTTTTTCCTTTCCCGGAAGTGTTCCTTGAATAGCCAAGTGAGTATGCATTGCGTGTAGGGCAATACATATATGATGGCCAACCCAAAAAAACATAATAATGAATTATAGAGCCCCTGCACCCTTTTTTGTCTCTGTGCGTAACACAAGACTATTCAAATATTCTACCATAAGGCTGGGCAAACAGGAGGGACTACAAAGCCTCCTCCACAATGGAGGATTGCAGCAGGAGTGCGCTTCCTTAGTGTCACTCTGCTGCACATGTACCCAGTGAATATATTTACAAAGACATCTAGTCCTCAGTGGCTGCCTGGAAGGACAGCATCCTATCCTGTGCTTGCCAGCATGCATAAACACACTCGGGGTAGATGGAGTCCATATTGGCAAATTCAGTTCTGCTGCAATCCCTCTCCTAGAGTAATGCAAACAGCACTGTGGACAAAAGCCCGCCGAACGTAGCCTTACCAATCTAGAGATCGCAAAACACGCTGCGTTTTTACATAAAATGTGCTTTTCCCAGGTGGGTTTGTTGTGTTGATTGGTGTTAGAAGTAAATTGCTTGTTTATAATCGTCTTTCCTATTAGCAGATCAAGTTGGTGATTCATCCAACTGAAAATTTGATCAAATCCTCCCACATTTTCTTCACTCAAGATGGATGTTTATTCATTGTTAATATTTAGTGTGTGTCAGATTGTATTAATATTCATCCTTCTACTAACTCAGGGTTTTAAAAAGATAATTCCCCTAAAAATGAAAATTATGTTACCAGTTACTCATGTCATTCCAAATCTGTAAGACTTTTTTTCTTCTGCTGACCAGAAAAGAAGAACCATGAAAGTCAGTGGTAGGCAAAGTATCTTATTTTTTGGTTCCAAGTCATACAGGTTTAAAAATTGTTTTTACGGCATCGTCCTTTCTAAGACAGACGGATAGAGCGCTATCTCTCTCACTTTTAAATAACCCTTTCTGAGTACTCTAATTAACCAAAACCGTTTTAAGGAAGACTTTTCCCCCTGTAATCAGCTTTCCTAATGTCTTTGGATTATTTAGTGTGCAAACACAATTAGCCGGCCTAATTTGCCTTAACATATTGATTGGTGGCCACCGCTGACAACCACAGGACTTCCCGTGGATTTCAATCCTTCCTGTTTATTTCTATCTTCTTCTTTTTTTTTAACTAACCTTTACCTTTTGTTTGCATAGAGCGTATCTGCAACCGTGAGATATCAGCTTTCCCTGGCAAGGAGGACCGATGGGGATGCCATTTGAATTTGCAACAGTCAGAGGCACTGTGACCACTAGAAACAAATTTCCGTGAGACCGTGCAGCTCAGATGAATGCTCTTCGGCCGTTCGTGAGCAAGAACATGATCATGGTCTAAATTTTGCATTTGATTCTCCTAAGCAGACGTACGTGTTACATGTAGAAACAGCAAAAAAGCACACCATCCCACCATCGTTTTTGCTTTATGCTAATGTGATTCTGTCCTTTGTAGTCAATAGCACAGACGTTTCGCGCTATGGGAGTGATATTCAAAAGCACTCCCTCTGGGTGTTGTTTATCTCATGTAAAGCTTCCTAATACCTAAAACACAATTAAGAAAATTGATAAAAATCATAAATACTGCCCTAGGCTAATTGGCATCAGGCAAAGGGTTGAAAACATGTTTGTTGCCATGGTAATTAGGGTTTTTGCATGTTTGATGAGGGTGAGATAATTATGTTGTGTAATCGTGTTTGCAGTCAGAATTGTTTGTTTGTTTATAAAAACTTTTGCCAGCAGGAATTATTTTTTGTTGCTATGAATAAATGATTTTTCAATTAAGAATCTAACGCTTGACAATGAGCTTGATGCTATCTCCAATTACAAGAATGAGATTGAACTGTCAGTTTTGGAGACCCACAATCCTGTAGCTTCATAATACTCTATTTGAAAATGCAAAATCACAATAATAACAGGAAGAATTGTTTATGCAAATTTTTGTTGTCACTCTGTGGCATGAATAGATGAATATAGAATTCCTTTTCGCACTCTTTGGACAGCCATATGCATGCTGACTCAATTACTTTTATTAGAACAAGTTTTGGGTTTATTCCTTGCTGACTTATTATTTTTGCAGCAAAATGCAAATCTGAAACAGTTGCATCTCTCTCACTCATGTTCATCCATGTCCTTGTCATTTCATGAAAAGACAGTGAGCTCCTGTTCCTGGGCTTGACGGCCACTCCGCGATTGACCACCATGATGAGCTGCACTTTTCTCCTCCCACACTGTAGCCATGATCCTTGTCTCAGCACCGAAAACGACACGCATGTCGAAAACCCTAAGGGAGTCTGAAAGGGCCAGACTGTCGACACTCATTATATCCTACCAAGAAAGAACAAGACACACACATATACACGTACACAAAACACTCATTCCTCCCTTTAAGGGAAAGCCTGTCAGGTTAGTGGTGCAGGCCTGGGGTGAAGAGACCTTTGCTGTGCTGGAAAGGTTATGTAGAAGTGGCTTATTCTCTCTCCTCTGCTGTGTTTCTGTGCCCTCTGAGCGTCTCCGTCTAGCCCTCTCGCCGTCTTCATACCGCCTGACACCTCCGTGGCATTTACAGAAGAAGAGAGGAGGACGACGATATCTCTGCGTCTCTGTATACAGGCCTCTCTCCCACTCGCTGGTACCCCGCCAGCATTCAGTCACTGGAAATATCCAGGATGGACACTGTTATCTGCTTTCACATTAATGCTCATGGAGACTGTAGCTCAGTGGGGACAACGGCAGTATCAGGAGCCATCTTGATGTTCAATTAGACAATCTCTGTCTGCTTCCTCTTCTCAACACTCATTGTTTCATTCACTGTAAGCAGAAAGGCTGCAACTGTGTCCCTTTAGTTCAAGAGCAGATAAGCAGGCTCAGATGAAATCTGTGAACTGTCTTTACATTTTTTGTGCTGATTTTGGAATTTAGGAAGGGACTTGTGTACATGGTAAAATGTGGTAAATGTTGAGTGAAAAGTGTGCATGTGTATAGGCGTCTTGTGTAAATTAGCTAAAAATAGAGCAAAATAGCTCAAGGGCATGCCGTAGTAGTTGTATTGTTTACAATAACAATTCCATAAAAATATTTTTTTTATATACATTTAATATTAATAATAAGTGTAAAACATGTTTTGACTATGTTTGGCAAGTGAGTGAACTAAATTGATGAGATGCATAATTTTAAATACAGTATGCAGTATTTTTCAAATTAATAACAGTATTTTTGTTATACTAAAATAAACTAGCAAATGTTTTGATTTATCTTCTAAACCGGAAACAGTGTTCCTTGCGTCATAACTTAACAAGTGAATATGCACATTGTGCACACAGGCTTCTTCCCTTTTATGGGTGACTGAAGTTTGAATTATGTGGAGTTCTGCAGTTATAGTCAGTGTGGGCCTGCAGATAAGCAATATCCTTAGTGTGTATGGACTTACCATTGTTACTAGAGTATGTCACTCCACATTATAAAGTGCTGTCTATAGTGTTTCTTCAGTAGTAGAATTGGAATTTTCTTTCTTTCCCTTCTCTTCCACAGTCATCTCATTTACCCTCTAATTCCATTGTCTTTATTTCTCTCTGACAATTCAGGATGCTGTGCGGGAGAACCACAAGAAGAGGGAGATGGAGGAGAAGATCAAGAGAGCCAAGCTAGCAAAGGAAAAGGCTGAGCGAGAGAAACTCGAAAGACAGCAGAAGAAGAAGCAGTTGATTGACATGAACAAAGGTACGGCACTATTGGCCCTCCGGGGCCCGACTGCATCCCGGCTCGTGATTTCACAGGGTGCTAAGCACTGCAGGGTTGGGGGTGGAGATGAGGAACAGGGCCACACTTCATCTGTGAAAAATCACACTGTTCACCGCCTGTTCCCTCGCACTAAATGTACAGGCAGATTAGACGTCATTGAGAATGTTTCACTGAAAAATCTTTATTTAGTAACTTTCACAGTTTAAGAAAGCAGTGTCAGTATGTTTGAAGACATCTGCCAAGTAAATGTTGACGACAATAATGTTAATTGCAATGCCATGCACACACCAGTGAGAAATCCAGTCGGAACCGAAAGGGTTTCCGCAGCGATAACTGCTACAGCTGTTACTCAGTACAAGAAAGTATGAAATAAATAGACTATTTTTTATGTGTTTTATTAAATGGAGCATTTGTGGCATTGCTACATAAGGGTGTGGAGCAACCCAGCAGCATTATGGGGCTGCACTGACAGGGGCGTGCCAGAGAAGATGTAGGTCACATGTAAAGATAAGCATCCTAGGTTCACTGCTTTTGTAGAGCAGACAGATAATGGATTGGCAGATTGCCTGTGGCCTAGTAAATGGAGTTGAGAGTCAACTATTACGTTTTTTGTAAGCTTGCTCAGTTTATTTCAGGAATGAAAAGAGGCCGTGTTGACAATAGCTTAATTCAGTTTGGATTACAGAAAAACTGATTGAATATGAAGTACATATTGTCCTTTGTGCATTTAAACCCTCCAAAATGTAGTGTTCTGATAAGAAATGTGTGGTTCGGTTTAAAAAGTAAAGATATAAAATGGGGGAGGCTGCCCAAGATGTCTCACACAGCATGCAAATTCAGGGTAAATTCTTGCCATGAGAGATATGAAGTACTCACTGCACTGCACAATTCTGATCCTTACAATGAGACAGAAATTACTGCCTCTGGCCAAAGCTTTTTCACAAACGCTCCAACTTAAAATGTCACACTGAGCCCAGCACTTTACTGTGGCCTTACATTTGAGAAAATGACATGTAGAACTTCAGCTCTTTGTGTTTCCTTTAGGATGACTGATGCCTGCTAGTTTACTAAGGAGTGACCACATTGAATGCTGAGCCTGTAATAATGCAGATGGAAAGACAGTGGATAACAAACTAGTCTAGTCAAGAATACCTTATTTTTAGTTATCTCTTGTCCTCCGTCAAAGCCCATAAAAAAGGCTTTTATCATTGAACTGCTGTAGTCGTCATCACTAGATATAAAGTGAGAGAATGTCAGTGAGTTCTGTTGTACATTTGGCTCCATATATGCATTAAATAATACTTAACAGATCAGACGTTCATTTGCATTCAAATATGAATATGAAACTACTACTACTTTTAAAAGAAGTCTGCAATTATTTACAGCACAAAAATGCAGTTCTTTGATTTTATTTTATTTTTTCAGTAAACATTTGATTCCCTTACAAGGGAAAAATATCATTTGTAGCATTTACAAAAAAAATCTAATTAAATTAAGTAAAGCTGTAATGATTGTTTGTGTGTAAGCAATACAAAAAATATATATATATATGCTTTATTAGACAGAGGAAAGAATAATATCATTATAATTAACACAATATCACTATAATCAAACACCATTCAGTGGCTCGGTTGGGTGTCTTAACAGAAAATAAAATAATTTTGCATTTATTAATGTTTCCTTAGAAATGAGGGAGCTTAGCTAAAGTGAGTATGTGCCTTTTTATTTATTTATTATTATTATTTTTGTAAATAGGGCAGTACTATTGTATTTCTCATTTGATCCACATATATCCTCTTTTTTGGCACACGACCCTCTTTCATTAGAACCCATGTCTAACGGCCTTTTGATTAATTATAGTTTTTAAGGCCTTTTCAAAGGACTATTTCTATAAAGAGATTTTTGAAGTCATTTTCCAAATTGATATCTAATGCCCTTCACATGCACATGATTAACAATGGGATACATATTTAATGAGAGTTTAATTCATTTAGGGTTAAGAGGATGTGTTTGACGGGATGGTGGAGCTGGGCGAATGAATATCTGTACCGTTTTCATTTTTTTTACAAGTATTTTTAAAGTCACACAGACGTTATCTGGAAATGTGTCCTTGCAAGGTTTCACGAACAATTTTGAGTGCCATGTGATTGATGTGCATTGCGAGCGGGATAAAATCTGTTTTTCTTGTGAACTATTAGAAATCCTAATATGGGAAATTGCTCATGAAATCATTACCCGGCCCCCCATTTGTTTTAATTTCCTCTAAGTGGATTTCCATATTCTCTTAGAATGACCAGATGTTCAGCATTCACCAAATTGCTTAACCCGCTGAAAGTAAATGGGGAATGATGTAAAATAGGCCTAAATCCACCTAATCCTTCTGTCTTTATTAGGAAAATATGTTTTGTCCTAGTGGGGCAGCCATTTTGCCAAAGGATATGGAACTATGTTGTTTACAGGGTGGCCTACTCATTGTGAAACATCACTGAGGAATGATAGGATTTCCTGTGTGCCTGTCTATACTGTTTCTCAGCCTGCTGGCTGTTTCAGGGTCACGGTTGAGGGTCACTACAAGTGTCTATGCCCACATGTTGCCTTTGAGCTGTATGGGGCATGGCGTAAGGTTTTCCATGAAACAAAGGAATCACTCTTGCCATATTTTAGGTGAAATGTAATTTCTGTAGAGCCCAAGTCCCCTGTGTGGTTTTGTCCCTTCCTATTCTTGGACAAACCCCTGATGTGTTTGGATGTGAGTGCTTACCCTCCAACATTTACCCAGCTGTTGGTGTGTTTTGTATACAGATATAATGTAACATATTTGGTTCAGGAGACATGTTTTGACTGAGGACAAAGAGAGACATAACCCTGTCCAATAATTATATTCATCCAAGCCAATTCAGTAACAAACACAACATAGATGAATTTAAAAATCTGTCCACTCCTTCTGTTCGATTACAGGCATCGTTTTGAGATATTTGTGCAAGTTCAACTCGTGTTTTTGTTGTGTTGTCTTTTTTTCCACTGCTGGTGTTTCTAATCTATAGGTCAGTTAGACAACTGAGAATGTTGTTCTTGTTTGCGGTCACTTGCTGAGTCATCGTGAATAACATCTTTCATGCGGCATATAAAAACCAGATGGTACAATAAATGATGTTGTTACAATAAATAAGACTGGCACACATCTGCCAGAGTCAGGAAGAGCGTAGCTTCACTTTCCTGTCTGACAGTGCAAATGATCCTTTTAAAGGTTTAGAAATAAAAGGCTAAAAGGAAGATTAGTGTAGTCTTATGAATATTTTTTTATGAGATGATAGCTGTCATTATCAGTGTGGTTGAGCTACATTTTTTAAGGCCCGTCTGCCAGTGCGTTTTAGAATGAATACTGCTCTTTATGTCTGAATACTTTCTATAACCCATTACCATTCGTTCGACACCCTCAGTCCCAGACAGGCAGTCGATAGGTTTTTAAGGAATCTTTATATAGTCTTTAAATGTGAAGTGTAATTTCTCCAACAACAATGGCACGGAACAGAATTGTAAGAACACTCAAACACATCAAAACAGATCAGGCTATAGCCTTGCCACAATCTCTCGCCATTGGTTGAGGCAATGTTGAGCCAGTTGGGTCACGCAAACAATTTATAAAAATATATATTACTCTGTGCATTTGGGGTGGAGATGTTTCAGTGAGACTTTCTGCAGGTTGCGTTGATGAGTCATTATCTAATACATTTTATCAATTCTAGGGATGCACCGATATGAACATTTTGGCCGATACCGATAACCGATAATTCTTTACATTTGAAAGCCGATAACCGATATATTGGCCGATAAATCTAAATTAATTTTTTATATACTTTGATAGCCTGTATAACAAAAGGCTCACCATTAAAAGCCTTGTCTCAAACACTTTTAACATAAATCAAACCTATACAATACAGTATAGCCTAGTTTGAACCAGTGTAAGATTCCTTATCTTTTAAAATTAATTTTACACTCATATGGACAACTTTCTTTATAAAAAAATGGTACTTTATAATAAGGTTTAATTTTGTTAGCATTAGTTAGCATGACCCAACAATTTTATAAAACATTTTTAAGAAAGTTGTATCTGTTAACATTAGTCAATGCACTGTGAACTAACATGAACGCACATATTTTATTAACTAACAATAACAAAGGCTATTGATCTCTGTTAGATAATGCATTAACAAATGAGACCTTATTGTAAAGTGTTATCAAAAAATCTATTGTCTAACAAAAAATAAAATAGATAAATAATGCAAACAAGTCATTGGATAACATTGGGCTGCATATAAAGAAACAAAATGCATGTCCCATGGATCAATAAACGGACAATAAGAAAAAAAAATATTTTAATCAAACCATATCGTTGATGAAAATAATACAAGAACAAAATAATGTTAGTTATTAATTATAACGCAATGTTTTTGAAAAAAAAAATGTATTACATTGATAGTAAACATCTTTAATAGCTTAGTTACTGTTTCAAATGACATTGCTGTGTGAGCTGCGCGCGCTGAAGCTGAAGAGAAGGTTGTTAGAAGGTTAATCAACTCAACGGTTGCTGAAGAATGCAAACCCAAACAATTTACAAATGTATTACAATAGTGAATACAATTATAATTGTATGACAGTCCCAATCATAGCTTTTAATGTTTTGCATTGTTGTTTAATCCGCGCGCTGAAGCTGAAGAGAACGAGCACCGGCAAAAACTGAAGAACTTTTCTAGCAGGTTATTTAAATCCACGAATGAAACGCATCATATGTGAGATTAATCAGATATTTATATTACATCAACTTTATATTACGACTTATCTGCGCAAAATGACGTGAATGCATAATCGAACTTGTGCTGGTCATAATGTGTAGGCTAATCCCTGTTCTGGACGCGCTATTCCCACAACAACGCGCTGAAACGGCAACTAAACAGAGAATTCACAAAGTTTTATTACAT